GATCTCTGAGACTATGCGGTCGATTAGACAGTCAGACGACCATTCGGCAGAGCGCGAAGGTGATGGGGGGGCGGACGCCTGTTCGGCCCCCGTCGAACCTAACGAGGACGTAAACTCCGGCGTGCCGTTGGACCCCCGACAAACCTGCGGAGGCATCATCGCGTCTCCGCGCCGAGAATTTTCACTTCTCATGAGATACGAGCGCGTCGAAAATCAGCCCTCGGCGTGGCGGTCCTCAGCAGGTTCGGCGCCGAAATAAGCCGTTCAAGCCGACGGGTCTCAAGCCGACCCACAGGCATGTCAGCGCCATCGGATCGACAACTGTCGGGCGCGACCAAACTGTGGTCGGTGAAGACGATCACAGCAGATTGGGCATTGTCGTTCGGCGCTGCGGGTGATGCACCCGACCGCAGACCGATCGCGGATTCCTGGAAGCGAGCGGTAGGGCGCCGCCGGATGAAGCCTAGATCGCGGTGACTAACAAGATCGAGCAGCTCAGGTGCACTGGGGAGCTTCGTTTGGCCAGCCGACTAACCCTGCGGCTGTTCTCCGCGAGGCTCGGCAGTTACTCTTATGGCCTCGATTGAATTGAGTGCTCGCGCGGCTTAGTGCCGCGTCTCCGCTGGAATTGGGCGAGGCGAATTCTCAGTGCGGGCCGCCCAAGCGTTGTAGGCCACCACCATCCGCTGCAGCCACTCCGGGTGCTTCGCGGAGAGGTCGTTCGTCTCGGTGCGGTCCGCGGCTAGGTTGAAGAGTTCCCACTCCTCGCTGAGTCGGTCCCACACCGCCTTCCATTCGCCCTGCCGAATCGCCGCGTTGCCGTTGTAATCCCACGCTAATTCTTCGGGTGGCGTGCGTATACCGCCCCGCAGTACGCACGCAAGGCTTGACCCGTCAAGCGGCAGGGTCGGCTGGCCGTTCAGCTGGGTCGGGAGCTCGGCGTCGGTCAACTCTAACAATGTTGGCATCAGATCAACGATGTGGCCAACTTGGTGGCAGAGCACTCCTGGTTGAATGTGTCCCCGCCAGTGCGCAATCATTGGCGTGCAGATTCCGCCCTCGTGCATCCAGGTCTTGTACCTTCGGAAAGGCGTGTTCTGCGCCCACCCCCAAGCGGGGCCCACCGCGACATAGTCGTCCCGGGGCCCCGGTAGGCGCTGCTCCGAGTCTCGGCCGCCGGGCTCTTCGGCGCAACCCCCGTTGTCGGAGAAGAACACGAATAAAGTATTCTCAAAGACTTCGCGGTCTTGCAGCTTGTCGATCAGCCTGCCGACATTTTGATCCATGCGATCGACCATCGCCGCATAGACCGCCATCCGCAGGTCCTCAAAATCCTGGTCGGCGTCGTCCCAGTCGTAGGCCTGCGAGTCGGCGCCGGAGAGCGCTATTTCTTGGCCGAAGAGGCCCATCTCTTGCTGACGAGCGTGACGCTTGCGCCGCAGTTCCTCCCAGCCGGCCAGGTACCGCCCGCGGTACTTGACGATGTCACGCGGCCACGCATGCAGCGGGTAATGCGGAGCGGTGTAGCACAAGTGCAGGAAGAACGGGCGGTCGTCGGAAGTGACGCGGTCGATCCACGCTATCGCACGATCGGTAAACGCGTCGGTCGTATAGAAGCCTTCCGGGAACCGATCGATCCGTCGGTCGTTGTCGGCAAAGTATCGGACTTGGCTCCCCTTGTAGAGCGGGTCGACTTGCGAGGGATCGAAGAAGTTGCACGCCCCGCCGAGCAACCCGTAGAACTCGTCGAAGCCCCGTCGCCGCGGATGGGTCAGCTCGCTTTGTCCCAGGTGCCATTTGCCTATGAGCGCCGTGTGGTAGCCGGCCGCTCCGAGAGCCTCGCCGAGGGTCGCCATGTTGGGCCGCAGCAAGTCGCGATCCGTCTCGCCGCCCCGACGGCGTGGGTAAAGGCCGGTTATGATCGATGCGCGCGTCGTGGCGCATTTCGCATTGTTGTAGAACTGCGTGAACCGCATGCCCTGCNNNNAAAGTGAGGCGTGTCAATTTCCCCGCCGTAGCAACCGAGGTCGCTGAACCCCATGTCGTCGCAAACGACGAGGACGATGTTCGGACGCTCGACTGCGGAGCAATTGCTGGCCGCGCCGAGAATGATGAGCACCGAAACGAGGTAAAACATGGGATATCGGACTTCAAAGGCGAACCGCAGTTGGACGGGCGTGCTCACTCCGGGACTGAGAGACGCCGCGGGAGCGGACGGACCTTAACACGCCGGTACGCGACAAGCCCCGTAAGCGACAGGCCCGTATTCAACCTGTAGGTAGTGTGGGCCGCGTGGCGTCTCCGCTCGGCTTTGCGCTAGGATGCGGGCATCGCTTCGCCGGCCTCGATCCATGAGGCCGACGGCGACTCTGTAAACACGACATGCCGATCGGCGCCGCTAGCTTGAGCTCTCACGCGAGCGATGCAGCTCAACGACCAAGCCGGCCGTGGATGACTCTGGAGCAGGGACTTTGATCGACGACAATACATGCAACCGCGTCCTTGCCCACTGCCCGTCGGTTATATCAACATTCGGTCGTCTGGAAGTGAGCGCCTACTTTCAGAAGCCTTCGTAACGAGATAACGACAGAGCACACCCTAAGGTCAACCGGGCCTGGGAACGAGATCTAGTTGAATCGTGCGATCATCAGTCGCCTCTGTCACTCACGTTTTCCCACATGCCTATACTCCGGTTCCGCGGTCGAGATCGGCGTTCGCCATAAGGAGCGGTTTGCTTGGGGACCCATTTCGAGCACGAGCTCCCCACCCGCCGTGATGTCGCGGTGCGAGATGAATGGACCCGCCAACGGCTTGCCGTTAAGCGAGGCCGATTGGACAAATTGATGGTCCGGTCCGTTGTCACGTGCGGTGATCGTAAAGGTCTTGCCATCCGGTAATGACACGATCGTTTGATCGCCGAGGGGGCTGCCGAGCACGTAAACTCCGCCGACAGGATCGACGGGATAAAAACCCATCGCTGACAAGACAAACCAAGCGGACATCTGTCCGCAGTCTTCATTGCCACACAACCCGTCGGGTTGATCGGTGTACATCTCATCCAGGATCTGTCGCACCCTCTGAGCCGTTTTATCTTGGCGACCAGCGTAGGCGTAGAGGTAGGCGATGTGGTGGCTGGGTTCGTTGCCGTGCACGTACTGACCAATAAAGCCTGACATATCGAGCGAGGCCTCGGCGTTCTTTGCGGAATCCTGGTTGAACAGCTCGTCGAGCCGTTTGACAAAAAGTTCGTTGCCTCCCATCAAGGAGATCAAACCTTGCGGATCGTGCGGTACGAGCCACAAGTACTGCCATGCGTTCCCTTCGCAATAGTCGTCTTCGCGGTGCTTGGAAAAGAACGGATCAAACGGGGTGTTCCAGGAGCCATCACTCCGGCGACCCCGCATGAACTGGGTTTCCGGATCGAAATACTGACGGTAGTTTTGGGAGCGTGCTAGAAAGTACTCGTAGTCCTCTTCATGACCCAGGTGCTTTGCTAGCTGAGCAATGCACCAATCATCAATAGCGTATTCCATGGCAAGCGCCACCGATTCGTGCATTAGATCGGCCGGGATGTAACCGCGCTGCTTGACGTGGTCGAGACCTCGCTCGTCACGCATCGCGGTCGCTTTCACAGCTCGGTAGGCTTCTTCTGCATCGACGCCAGCGAACCCCTTGAGGATTGCATCGACAATGACGGGCGCCGCGTGGTAACCCACCATCGTGTTGGTCTCGTTTCCGAGCAAGTGCCAGACAGGGAGTTTGCCCTGCTGGCGATTGATCGCCAGCATCGAGTTGACCATGTCGGATACGCGGTGCGGCTGCGTGAGCGTTAGCAGGGGTTGTGCGGCGCGATAGGTGTCCCACAGGGAGAAGATCGAATAGTTCTCGTGGGCGACATCGCGGTAAACCTTTTTGTCGGTCCCTCGATAGTCCGAACTATGATCGTTGAAGAGCACCGGGGCGATCATCGTGTGATAGAGCGCCGTGTAGAAGACTCGCATTTTGGAGGTGTCGCTGGATCGGAATCGCACGGCGCCAAGGGCGTGCTCCCACGCCGCGTCGGCCGCGGCAACGGCGCGGTCGAAATCCCAATCGGGTGCTTCAGCTCGCAGGTTGGCGTACGCGGCGGCTTCGTCGATCGGCGAGACGCCGACCTTGAGCACCACCGTGCGCACCCCCCCCTTGAAAGAGAGCACGGCGACGTCCGGTTTGACGTCCTTGCTACTTTCTTGGCTAGAGCCTGGCGACTGTTGGATTGCTTCGCCGCCGCGAAAGTAGTCGATCGATTCGAACGATTGGGAACTCTCTAGCGCGAAGAAGACGCGTTGATCTTCCGCCCAACCCGTTGAGAATCGCCGGCCTTCCAGGCGATTCTTACCAATGGAGCGAAGGTCGGTTTCGGTTGCTCGGCCGCCACCGTTCTCAAACTCGAGGTCGACCGCGATTCGTGGCGTCACTCCTGCAGGAAACGTGTAGCGGTGCCAGCCGACACGCTCCGTCGCAGTAAGTTCCGCATGGATCCCTTCATCGAGTAGATCGACCGCGTAGTACCCTGCTTTCGCCGTCTCTCGATCGTGCGAGTAGCGTGAGGCGTAACCTTTCTCGGGGTGTTCGCGGTCACCGCGCGCGGGACTTACGTCGCCCACAAACGGAGCGATCACCACGTCCCCCAGGTCGGGGATCCCGGTGCCACTGAGGTGCATGTGCGAGAACCCAACGGCTACGTCGTCGGAGTAGTGGTACCCCGAGCACCAATCCCAGCCCTGATTGAAGTTTGTTAGCCCGAGTTGTACGGCGCCGAAAGGGACACTGGCGCCGACAAACACGTGCCCGTGTGCGTCCGATCCAATCAGGGGATCGACGTGAGATGTCAGCGGCTTGTCCGACGTCTCCCCCGCGATAGCGGCCCCGCTTGGCAACAATGCGAGTGGAGTGAGGGCAGCGAGGTACAAGAGCGGCAGCTGTAGATATGCCATGGCAGTTGATTTGAAGGAGGAAACTTAACCGTTATCGAGTTGCTGAATCGCGAAGGCGTAGGCGCCGACGGCTGTGGCTTCGTTGGTGCCTAGTCGGGACACTCCTATGCCCAGCCGCGGTTGGGGGTGACATCGGACCGTCTGCGACGAGCGCGGAACCGTGACGGAGCGAAAGGACGGTCTGAGGAAGGACGCCATGCCTTCGTCCGTGCTGAGGTCGATGACTTCATGCGCGACGCGTGGCAGCGACGCACCGGCTCGGGTCCTTAAGGGGCTCGCAAGAGCGTCTCGCAAGGAGGGCATGAATAAAGCGGCGCTGCCCGACAGTCCGCCACCGATCACAACGAGACCATCGAAGAAGCACGTAGCAGTTGCGATGGCGTCACCGACGGCTTGCCCAAGCGATTCAAAGGCGCTCAGGGCGGCCCGCTCGTCGCCGGGATGCGAACCTTTCGCGATAGCCGCAATAACGGCCGGCGTCGGGGCGTCCGCTGAACTCGTCATCGAGGCTTCCGCATACGCACGCTGCACCGCACGGATGCTCGCCCCTTCCTCGGCGAGGAGTGTCGCATCCAGCCGGTTGGGCAATCGCCAAATCTCTGCGGCAGACGCGTTGTCGCCAACTAACAATCGACCGTTCAGGACGGCGCCGCCGCCCAAACCGGTCCCCAACGTGACGGCGAAGAGGTTGTGGCAGCGGCGGTCGGAGCCGGCGGCTTCAAGGCGGCCGTTCACCCATGGGAGGAGACCGGCCGTCGCTTCGCCGAGCGCGAATAAGTCGCCGTCGTTGTTGACGAACGTCGGAACGCCAAAGCGCTCTTGCAAAAAAGGACCGATAGCGACTCCATCGCGGTACGCGGGCAGGTTGCCGACATTGAAGACAACGCCACTGAGGTAATCGGCCGGACCGGGGAACGCAAAGCTGATGGCAACGGGATCGACTTCCAAAGCCGAGATGATGCGATCGAAGCCAGCGACCAAATTGTCGAGACTGGCGTCGAGATCGTCGCCGCACGATGGAAGTACGCAGGAGTCACCGATCGGTTCTCCTCCTTGAAGGGCGGAGAAGGCGAAGTTGGTTCCCCCGGCATCGAGCGTCAAGACGACGCGCCGGTCCACGGCACTCGAGTGACGCGTCGGTTCGGCGGCAGTCGAACTGGAGTTGTTCACGCGACCCCCTCCTGCGTAGCAGCGAGCCGACGCGCGTTCCAGACGCCAAAGAAGGCGATGTAAATATAGCTGACGATCGGCGCCAAGAACGCAAGCCTGACGCCGGCATAGTCCGCCACAGCACCCATGAAGAGGGGGAAGATGGCGCCGCCGACGATCATCATCACCAACAAGGAGGAACCTTGGGGCGTTTGTTCGTTGAGTCCATCGATAGAGAGGGTGAAGATGTTGGACCACATAATCGAATTAAAGAGGCCGGCCCCCAACGCGGCCCACATGGCCACCGAGCCCCCCGCAGTCGCGGCAGTCACCAGCAGTGCGACCAAGCAGCCAGAGAAATAGATGAGCGTTTTTGCGGGGCACCCCCTGCCCAAGGCGAAGACGAACAGGCAAAAGGCGACAAGGCACGGGAAAGGGGCAATCGACTCCAGCGACGCGAGCTTCAGCGATAACCTTCCCTCGTCGAATCGCAGACCGGTCATCAAGTACACGAGCCCCACCAGGGCGCCGGCGATGAGGACCATCGCGACCGCTTTGCTAAAGGGGCTTGGCCCACGATTGAGGGCTACCGCGCCGCAAAGCCGGCCGATCATGGCTCCCCCCCAGTAATAAGCGAGGTACACGCTGGCGTCTGCCTCTTGCCAGCCCGTGATCGCAGGGTCGGCGATAAAGTTGACGAGATAACTCCCGATCGCCACCTCGGCGCCGACGTAGAGAAAAATCGCCGCCATTCCCAGCCGAAGCTGAGGATACCCCAATGCGCCCTCGGCCTCAGCCGCCTCGGCTTCGCGGCGATTGATGATGACCGGCAGCTTGCACGCGGACACCACGGCGGCCAGCGCCAAAAACATCCCTGCATAGATCAGGTAGGGAGTGTGAACGGATTGCAGCGACTGTGGGTCGCCGCCAGCGAACACTTTGTAGAGCAGCAGCCCACCCGCGATCGGCGCGAGCGTGGTGCCNNGCCAGGTTTAGCCGAGAGGAGGCGTTCTCGGGCGCCCCGAGCACAGCCGCGTATGGATTTGCCGAGATCTGCAGCAGTGTCACCCCAGTCGCCAGCAAAAAAAGCGCGCCGAGGAAGAATGGATACGACGTCGTCACCGAAGCGGGCCAGAACAGCGCGCATCCCAGAGCGCAAACGATCAACGCGACCATGATCAGCCGCTTATAGCCGAAGTGCTGGATGGGGTCCGCCACTCGAGACGACAAGAGGTAGTAGATGAGCGAGACAACAAAAAAAGCGCTGAAGAAGGCGAACTGGATTAGCGCAGCCTGCAGGTACGACAGCACAAAGCTCTGCTTCAAATAGGGGAGCAACACGTCATTCATGACGGTGATAAAGCCCCAGAAGAAAAAAAGAAGCGTCACCAGAGCGAACGGCCCGGCCGTCGATTGCCTTCGCGAGTCCGCCACGATAGCGTTGCCGGCCTTCAAGCTAGTCCCCGCCATGGATGTCTTTTGATCGCAGAATGGATAAGGACGCTACTGACCGGCCCGGCCAGATAGACGCAGCGCCGGGAAGCCGGCCTGCAAGAGTTCGGAGAGCTCCGCGACGTGCGCCGCGGATGACGGTCGGGCCGCGAGGTTGAAATACTCGTCGTGATCGACGGGGTGTTCGTAGAGTTCGACGCCGCCCTCGCCGTTGCGGCCCCACTGGGTGAATCGGAAACGGTCGGTCCTTACGCTGTACCCCATGCCCACTCCCCCTCGAACGACTTGGGTGTAGGCGACGTAAGGCGCCGCTCCTTCCGCACGGCCTTCGAGGATTGGCCGCAGGCTTTTACCGGAGAGCCGATGCGGCGGCTCAAGGCCGCAACAATCCGTCAAAGTGGGGTAGAGATCGAGAAGCTCCACGATGGCGTCGCTGTCGTTCCCCATCGCTGCGGCGCCCGGAAGCCAGACGACGAACGGAGTCCGGGCGCCGTGTTCGAACACCGTCACCTTGTTCCACCACCCGTGCTCGCCCAGATGGTAGCCATGGTCGCCCATTACAACGACTATCGTGTTGTCCCAAAGTTCTAAGCGATCGAGGCAGTTGAAAAGCTTCCCAACCTGCGCATCGACGAAGCTCACGCAGGCTTGGTAGGCTCGCTTGAACTCGCGACGGTCGCGGTCGTTGAACGAAGCGAACGCATCTTTGCCCGGTAGCGCATGGCGGTTTAGCGGCGTGCTTTCGTCGGGCCGAACCGGCAGCGTGACGTCGGTATCAGCGTAGGCCTGAAAGTACTCTCGCGGGGCGATGAAGGGGTCGTGGGGCTTGTGGAAGCCGACAGACAGAAAGAACGGGCGTTCGTGGACTTCTTCGAGCACGCGGATCGCTTCTGCGGCGAGCATCCCGTCGGGCTGGGCCGCGTCGCCGCCCTCGGCGGCCACCCATTGGCACCAGGGGATGCTGCCGTCGCCCATCAACCTGCCCTCGCCCTGGAGGCCGATCGAGGGGCTCCTTCCCAGCGCCCGATACGAATGCTCGAAGGAAGGGGCGTCGCGAAACAGTGTCGGTTCGCCCCCGGCGTCTAACCCCTGGTGAAAGAGTTTGCCGAGCCCGGCCGTGTAGTAGCCCGCATTTCGAAACGCTTGCGGAAGGGTGACGATCTCTGGATGCACGCGTCGGAACGGTTCTTCGTTGCTATAGACGCCGAGTTCGTCGGGGCGCTTACCGGTCAGGAACGAAGACCGACTTGCATTGCATACAGGGTATTGGCAGTAAGCGCGGTTGAACTGGAGTCCCCGCTGGGAGAAGGCGTCGAGGTGAGGCGTACTCACAGCTTCGACTCCGTAAGTGCGGAGCTCGGGCCGCAAGTCATCGATCACTACCAGCAAGACGTTCAACGCCCGCGAAGGCGCGCCGAGGGCCGCCGACGCACCCGCAAGCAGTAGGAGTGTGGCGACCAGTAATCGAATGAATCGTCGGTCACAAGCAAGACGGCTTAAGGCGAAGGATTGTCTCATCACTGCTCCCTCCGTGGCAGGACGTGGGAAGTCGGTCTTTCATCGCGCAGCATGCGGCCCGCTTCTCCGGTAAGCCAGAGGTAATGGTCGCTTGGAAGCCACTCGTACGTCAGGAACTTCACGCCTTCTCCAACGGGCGGGCTATTAGTGCACTTGAAAATAGCGGTGCCTTCATCGACTTCGTCGAACATCGCCACGTAGATCATCGTCGCACCGGCTCGCTTCGCCGTGACGAACTGCGACCATAAGAAACGCCCCTTCTCACGAGGGATCTCGTCAAGCTTGGACCCGGTGAGGTTGTGCCAGCTAAAGCCCGGGAAGACTACCGGTAAGTAGTCGACGCCCTGCTGGGCGCACCAATCGACATCGGGCTCCCAGTAGTTAGCGCCGTGATCGCGCACCGAATTGCGGTCGCGATAGCGGCCCGGCGTCCAGGGGCTGACGATGTCCGCCATCTTGATGATTTCGAGCAGTTGCTCGTCACGCACGGCGTCCCGTGAAAGCGTTCGCCATCCCGTGGGCACACCTAGCATCACCGTACATCCGCTTTCTTTGAGTCGCCCGATAAGTTGGCGGCATTCGTCAAGCGTGTACTGTCGAGGCTTGCCTCCCTCGAGAAAACCAATGCCCCACACCGCCACAACAGGTTTTCCGCGGTGGCAGAGATACCGCTGATCCGAGGTGACACGAAGTTCTCGACGGAGTCGGGTCCAGTCATCGAAAACACGCGCCGTTTCTCCGGCCCGCAGTCCCGAAAGGTCGTACATCACCGCGTAAGTGCGGCCCGTCGCGATCGCGGCCTGGCGGACTCCCCGGAGGACCGCATCCTTATTCGCACGGAGCGGGTCTGAGACGATTCCGTTGGCGAAACGCTGCAGGAAGACCCCGTCGATCGAGTGCTCACGCATCCACTCGAAGTGCCGGCGGATAGTTTTCGGATTGACGCTGGTGTAGACCTCAGCAGGTTTGCCATCCGCCAGAAGAAAGTTGGTGGGGTGCTTCTCGTCGCTATCGAGCTCGCTTAGGTCCGGCCAGAGATCGACCGTAACGTTGCCGGGGCCCAGATCATCCTTGGCACGACGCGCCCAGTGCTTCCATCCCAGCCGCATCCCGTCGGCGGGAACGTTGAACCAGCCCTGGTAGCCACACATGACCTTACCGTCGAGTGTGCTTGCATCCACCTTCTCGACCAGATTCTTGGCTCTCGGTGTGGGTCGATTCTTGGTTTGTTCCAAGGCGGCGAGAGCGCTCGCCACGCGCTGCGGCTCATCGGCGTAGCGGTTCTTCTGCTCGCCGGGGTCCTTCTCAAGATCGTACAACTGGCCCCGTGGCTGGTCCTCGGCGGGATCAACGTGCTTGGGGTCGGAGAACCCGCCAGAACCGAGTCCCGTGATCAGCTTCCAATTGCCGTTCCTGACACCGTACATCTCCGGAACACTTCCGGCCTGAGTAACGACGGGAGGTCGCAGTGGCATGTCTTTAGGATGCACACCTAGAAGTTCGGGGAGGAGGCTGTAACNNGTAACTGTCCACCGCGGCTTGTTCATCGACAGGCTCGCTGAAGACCTCCGCGAGCGTCGCGAGTAAATCCGTGAAGCAAATCGTCTGGTGGGAGGTAGTCCCGGCGTCAATAACGCCGGGCCACGTGACCACGAAGGGCATTCGATGACCGGCCTCCCAAACGTCTCCTTTCATTCCGCGGAAGCCCCCTGCCGAGTCGTGCGAAAACTGGACGACATCGCTGTCGTACCAGCATGGACCGTTGTCGGAAGTAAATACTTGGAGAGTGTCGTCCCGCAGTCCCGCCTCTTCCCACGCGGCAAGGACCCGACCCACCTCGGCGTCTACCATCTGGACAAAATCTCCGTAGAGCCCGGCGCGGCTGGCTCCCCGATGCTCTGCCGACGGGAGCCATGGCGTGTGCGGCGAGGGGTAAGCCAAGTACAAGAAGAGCGGCTTCCTATCCCCCCTCTCCTTTCGGCCACTGTTTCTAATCACAGCGACGGCTTCATCCGTTAGACGGGGCAGCACGGCGTCGAGTTGCATGCCCGGCGCGATGCCGCCGCCAAGTCGGCGTCGCCCCTGGATTGCCGTCCAGTCCGGCGAGAACTCGTCCGCGATGGAATCCGACGGCGGATCGACCGCCTCATCGCCGCGAATGTAGAAATAAGGTGGGATATCGGTCGATGCGCGGAGACCGAAGAAGCTATCGAAGCCGTGGTCAATCGGCCCGCCACGCAGCGGCTTTTTGTACCCACGCTCCTCAAATCCTAAGTGCCACTTGCCAACCATCGCCGTTCGGTAGCCGGCGCGCTTTGCTACGGTCGCAATCGTTTCCTGATTTTCCTCAATGACGGGTTGGTTGGGCCATCGCGACACGTCGGTCCGGAATGGGTAGCAGCCGGTCAAGAGCCCATAGCGGGACATGTGGCAGAGGGGGCCGG